ACACGGGGGTGGGGGTGGGAATCCACTGGCGGGCTGCTGCTGGTCTGGGGGGGTAGGCCTGGGGGTGCGAGCTGTGTGGGGTGAGGGGCGGGCAGCAGGCCAGCAGGCGCTGCAGCACGCCGCTCGGCCCCTTTGAATCAGGGAGAGGCGGCGCTCGGGGCTCGATGTCGCAAGCCTGTCGCGTGCCTGTTGCCTGCCCCGTGGCTTCTCCCACCGGGCCCCCGCCCCCTGCTTTCCTGCTTGCGCAGGCGGCGTGCGCACCACGCGGCTGTCTGCCCTCATGAACGCCGCGCTGGGGTACGTGGCGGAGGAGACGAGCGGCTTCATCGACTTTGATGCGGTGCCGGCGGAGGGCGCCAGCCTGCAGGTGCGGCTCGGCTGCTGAGGAGGGGGCGGCGCCGGCGGCGGCGGCGGCGGCGGCGGTGGGGAGAGGGCTGGGAGGCTCGCGGTTGGCGGGGGGGGCTGTGGGCAAGGTGGAAGTCGGTCCCCTCACGAGTCACCGCCTGTCGTATGCACCGCCCCAGCACCTGGGAAGCCACCTCGCCTTGCTCAAAGCGCGTTTCGCGACCACACACAGCGCCAGGCATCGCCCCCCCCCCCCACCACCAACACAAAATCCCCCGCCCCAAACACGGAAACCTGCTCACGCGCCACCGCCGCCCTCGCGCCGCCTGCAGGAGCTGCTGGCGTTCCTGCTGGGCCCCCAGGCCCGAGACCTGCGCCCCGCTGCTGGCCGCGGAGCTGACTAACGCGGCAGACCTGTTTTTGCGGGACCGCGTTCGCCGCGCGGCGGCCTCCGCGGCCGCCGCCCTGGCCCGCCCGCGCCTGCCGATGCCGCCCGGCCTGGGCGCGCTGGCGCCCGCCCTGCCCGCGCTGCCGCTGCCGGCGGGCTTCTCGCCGCCGGTGCCGGTGCCGGGGCGGGGGCTGGTGCCAGCTCAGCAGCTGGTCGACGAGCTGGCGCCGCCGCTGAGCCAGGCGGAGGAGGTGTACCTGCAGGTGGGCGGTACAGGCAGTACAGGGGTACATGCTTCCAGCGCTGCTTGTCTCTGGGGCTGTCCCTTGGCACCCTGCTGCCGTGGCTGGCCAGGCTCCTGCCAGGTGCAGGGATGGCAGTCTGGGGCCGCCCACGGGCCTGCCGCAATCCAACCGCTGAGCTGGCACCAGTTCCGCCGTAGCATTGATTGATGGGGCAGGACGTCGAACTCGATCAAGAGCTGACTCTTGATCGAATCGATCGAATCGATCAAGCCAACTCTTGATCGAGTTTGACATGCAACGGCCCATCAATCAACGCTATGGCGGGGGCTGATGCCGGCTCAGCGGTTGGATTGCGGCTGGCATTCTGCCCCCTTCTTGTGCCTGACCTGCCCTCTGCGCGCATGTGCCTCGCACCCCACCCCTGCAGACCATAGTGGAGCTGGTGGCGGGCCTGCTGGGTGTGCAGCCAGGAGAGCTGGAGGCGCCCGACGCCCGCCTGCTGCAGCAGCTGCTGCTGTCGCCCAACGAGCAGGTGCGGGAGCTGCAGGCGGCGCTGGCCATCCTGACCAGCGGCGGCGATGGCGGCGATGGCGGCGGCGACCCGGCGGTGGCGCGGGAGATGACGGCACAGGTGGGCGGCGCCCTGCTGCGGACGAGCGTTCCCGCTGCTCGGCGCTGGAATCCAGCCTGCCTGCTTGGCCACCCGTGCTTGCCGCATTTGGGAATGCCGCGCCCAGCCGGCCGTCGCTCCTGTCCTCCGATGCCCCGCGGAGCTGATCCTCCCCCCCTCCACCGCCCCTCTCCTCCTGTGCCGCAGGTGGTTGACTCCTTGATGGCACGCGCCGCGGGGCGGCTGGGGGTGCAGGCAGACACGCTCTTCCCCATGCGCGCCTCGCTGCTGAGCCTGCTGCAGCGCCCGCAGTGAGGCGGGCGAGCACGACAGGCGGGTGGCGGCTGCGTCAGTTGCCTTGTACTTTTTCATTTCATTTGCGGCTGGGGGATGCCTTCTTTTCTTCCCCCCACCACGCCCTCTTCTAGGCGTGCTGCCTCATTTGGTCCCTCCTTAATCGATGCCGCTGCCTTTGATTGCTCACGATGGGGCGGCGCCCTCGGTGCGGCACCAGCGCAGGTGCCCCTTGTGCCCCCCTCCTCCTTTAATTTTGCTCACCATTTCGTTGTTATTCAATCACACGCACTTTAATGCACCAGTACCATCAACAGATGAAGCCATGTAAGGAACATTCACAGCGCAAGAGGAGCTGGCACCGCCCCCGAGAGATGCCTCTGCTGGGGAGATCAGCAGGCACTGCTTGATAGCTAGAGATGCAGAGCGACAGAGGTCCAGCTGCTGAATGCCTTGGGCGCCCCAGACTGCGTAACACAGCAGAGGGCAGCTGGCCGTGATTGGCAGTCAACGCTAGGCGCCTCGGCGCCTTGCTGACGAGGCGGGCTTCACAATTGGACCCCAGCCGGCAAGGGGCGTTGCCCTCATTCGCTACCTGCAAAAAATGGTGATCCTGCACACGAGCGCCACGCCCGCAGGCGGGCTGCCAGCTTCAGCAGCTGCGCCAGGCGGTGATGCCCTGGTCGGTGCCTCCCTGTTCGTTTCCAGCCTCGAGCAGTCGATCGCATTCCTCCACGGCGCCTTCGGGTTTCAGCTGGTGGCCAGCCTGGAGCAGGAGGCGTGGCCGCGGGCGGTGCTGGCGACAGGTACCTGAAGCCGCCAGTGCCGCCGCTTGCGAGCATTCGCCCACCTGACTGCCGCCGCTGCCCCTGCAAGCTGCAGACCTGTCCCCAGGAAGCTTCCGGCTTGAGCTGCTGGCCCCGCCTGCAGCCTCGACCAGCGGCAGCAGCGGCCTTGCCCTGGGTAGCCTTGCTCCCGGCAGCGCCAGCATGGCGGAAGGCGCAGAAGTGGCTGGAGCAGCAAGAGGGCTGGGGCACTTCACGCTGGCGGTGCCAGACGCCTCGGCAGCAGTGGCCTTGCTAAAGAGCAGCGGCTACGGCAGCCTTGTGCTGGACGAATGCTCGGCGGTCATCCCTGTTCGGGCGCACGGCCAATCCCACACGGTGGGCCGGCAGGCGGTTGGCCACATGGTGGCTCTCTGTGCAGCCAAGCGCACCAAGCAGCTTGATACCACTGGTGGCACACCTGTGCGGCCGCAGGAGCGCGCCTCTCCCTGCCCCCCCTGCTGCAATGAAGGGAGGCTGGCAGCCACAGTGGGGCCCACCATCACAGGCACCCCCGCTGTGCCTGCGTGCCTGCGCCGCGCCCGCTCTTGCCGTCACCGCAGGACCGCACGGCTCGAGTGCGCGACATCGATGGCCACACGTGGCAGCTGATCGAGCTGAGCTCCGGCAAGGTGCAGCGTGCAGGCAGCGGCCCGCTGGATTTCTCAGTCCTGCAGAGTGCGTGAGAGCGGCAAGGGCGCCTCCCCGCTACCCACGGCTGTGGCACGCCCCCTGCCTGCCCCGCAGGTGCGCGAGCGGCTGTGCAGCATCATGATCCACGTATCAGACCTGAACGCCTCGCTGCCGTGGTACACAGGTGGGCAGATGGGTGGATGGGTGGCCGCCGCCATTGGCGACGACCTGGTGGCATCGGCAGCGGTGTGTTGTGGCGGGCGCCTGGCTGTTGGAGGCCTGCGGGACCATGGAGGCCTGTGGGACCATCCAGCCAGCCAGGGCGTGGTGCGGGAGAGCTCCCATGAGGCAGGCAGGCGCACTGATAGGTCGCCAGCTTGCTTGCCTGGGGCGCAGGCGTGCTGGGCATGCTGGTGCACCAGCGGTACGAGAGCCGGGAGACGGGTAGGCACCTGCCCGCCAGGCTGGCGCCTTACATGCACCAACCTCAAATCCGGGGGTTTTGCTGCCCCGGCACCCAGCTGAGGCCATTCCCCGCACTACCACCACCACCAACCCCCGCTCCTTCCTAGCGCAGGCTACCTGTCGGCGCTGGTTGGATACGGGGCTGAGCTGGAGTGCACGCTGCTGGAGCTGCGCCAGCAGTGGCAGCCGCAGGTGCCCGCCCACGCCCCCCCACAGCAGCCGCCGCAGCAGGCGGCGGCAGACGCCGCGGGGGTGCTCGCCAGCCTTGCGCGGCAGGCGCCGCCGCCGCCGCAGCGCCTGTGCCGCCTCCTGGTGCGGACCCGCAGCCTGGGGGCGGCGGCCGAGAGGCTGCAGGTGGGCCTGCCGGCAGGCGGCACAGCTGGTGCAGCTGTCCTGCTGCTGGCCAGCTGCCAGCTGCCACGCCTCCTCCAGCTCTCACCTCACCTCCCGCTGTGGCAGCCCTTGGCATGCCCGGCCAGCCCCTGTGGCCAACGCGACGCCCCTCCCACCCCCTCCAAACCGACGGTTTCCCGCTCGCAGGCGCTGGGCCAGCCCTTTGAGCGGCTGCAGCTGGCCGGCGCCGAGGACCCGACGGTTGCGGCAGAGGCGCTGGCGGTCGCCGACGCCGACGGCTGGCGGTTCTGCTTCGTGGGGGGCGGGGCCCAGCAGGGCGGCGGGGATGATGCGGCGGTTGGTATGGAGGAGTGAGGCAGCCACAGCTGCTGAGGGGGGTGGGCAGCAGCAGGTATAGCAGCCGCATAACTTGGGAGGCAATCGGGGGGGTGGGGTGCGGGTCAGGCAGCCGCTCATGTCGGCAGCGCAATTCCCTCCAGACACTCTTTCAGGACTGTCTCCTGCCAGCCTGTTCTGCAAAGAGTATCACAATCAGTGTCAAAACCCGATTACGTTGTGCACATAGGCTGGTGAGCAGGCAAGGGAAGCAGGGAAAGCGGTACGAGACAAGAGAGGGGCAGCGCTGGCAGGCAGACTAGACGTGACGAACCAAAACAATCCCAGCAGGCACAAGCAGCTCGGCGCTGCTCTGGCCTGCAGCCCACAATAGAAGCAGAACACAGGACGAAATAAAGAGCGGCGTCGCAGCAGCAGCAGCTGTGCCGAGGCATCTCGAGCCCGAGAGCCAGGCGGCGCCGCGCTTTCTACTTCTGCTGGCGCAGCATGCAGCGCACGTGCTGCACCAGCAGCGCGCGCTTGCCGTCGGCGCTCCAGCCCATGACCTGCAAGGGAGGCAGGGAGGGGCGGGCAGGCAGGGCTCGGCCAGGCGCGGCGCAGCGACGCCTCATGCCCTGCTGCGCGGCGCCTCGTGCCCTGCCGCGCGGCCCCCGGCTGCGCCCTGTGCCCGGTGGCATGGCGGCATACCTTGCGGTAGATGTGGGCACGCATGTCCCGCAGCAGTGTGAACTCTGCCATGTAGGCGACCACCTGGCGGGCGGGGAGGAAAGGACGGGGCGCGCAGGCGCGCAGGGGGGACGCATGATGTGCTCGTCAGCAGGTGCGAGAGTAGGGGGGCGGGCGGCCCACCGGCGAGGCGCCCAGCCGCGGCAGGCGCCGCGGCCGCGCCCCGGGTGAGGGCGAGGGCAGGCGGGTGGGCTGCTGGCAGGAGCGACGCCCCGGGGGGAATCCCCACTGCAGCGGCGCCACACGGCCGGCACCACCACCACCAGCACCACCACCACCACCACCACAGCACCACCGCCTCACCTGCTCCTCGCTCAGTTCCGGCAGCCTGCTGACCGCCTCCTCCACCTCCGCACACATCGCCTCCTGCACCGCCACCTGCGGCCGCTCGTAGCCTGAGTATGCGGCTGCAGCAGGCGCGGGCCGGCAGGGCGCGGAGCGGTGAGCGTGATGCGCGTGGCGGTGGTGGTGGTGGTGGTGGC